ACTACTACTACTACTACTATACTCTATTGCTGCCGTACTACTTCTGTACTACTGTACTACTACTACACTGCCACTGTTCTTCCAGTGCACTTCTGTACGATTTCTACCAGGCCGGGCGCACCCTTATAAAGAGCTTATCTCCCTACTCAGCCCAACCCCCAGACTTCTCTAAACCTTCAAGCAGAGAAGCACATTGTGTCAGTCGGCCAGTAGGTCGTGACTGTATGTATGCATGCGTGTCACGTGTGAACGTGTGCATGTATGCGTTTGCAGAATTGCATGCATGTTCACGCGTGAACGTGTGCATGTATGCGGGTGCGCGAGTGCATGCATGCGCGGAGGTATGTAGGCAGGCAGGCATGATGCAAGGTAGGTAGACAGGTAGGTAGTGTGAAAGTATGCATATGTTAACGAAATTAACAGGATGTGTGTGTATGTATATATATATATTTGTACAGCTATGCTCAATGACATGAAGAGGATGTGTAAACGTTTATATTTCTATTGATGCCCACTGACTCCACTCGTTGGATGTCAGGCATCCGGCTCTCTCAAAGCACTCAGCTCCTTGTGTATGACCCCCTTTCGGCGTGCGCGTGTGTATATATATATATATACATACATATATATATATATATATATATGTGTGTGTGTGTGCGTTTGTATGTGTATGTATAATTAAACGTGTAAAAATGCATATAGACATACATGTATATGTGTGTATGTGTATACATGTATAGATTGTGTTTGTGCGGGGCATGCGTGTATGTATGTATGTATGTATGCATGTATGCATGTATGCATGTATGCATGTATGTATGTATGTATGTATGTATGTATGTATGTATTTATATATGTATTTATGTATGCATGCATGTATGCATGTATGTATGTACACATGTATGCATGTATGGATGGATGGATGTATGGATGCATGGATGGATGCATGCATGCATGTATGTATGTATGCATGTATGTTTGAGACATCTGTGCCAGAACTTGACGTCAAACAGACCCGAAACCAGGGGCGGCTTGTGGCAGTGCTTCCGCAGGACATGTTGTTTGCATTGTCTTGCGACTGGATGCGCACCGGGACCTTTGGCAAACATGAACAGACTCCGAATAGATATCTGTCGACTAAACCTTCTTCAACCGGGGGATTTTGATAGGAAAAGGACTCAGCAGACCTTGTGACAGTGCTAGCGAAGGCTTTACGAGTGCCCTCAATGATAGTGATCTCGGTCTAGTATCGACACCAGGACCAGGCATGACGCAAGCTGTTTACACTCTCCGGAGAATGTTCAACCAGCTAATGCCGCTCGTTGGAAGCATGCTGTCACGCATAAGGCCACTGCTTACTCAAAGGATAACAAGGGCAGCAGTGCTACGACAAGTGCTCAAGAGCTTAGTGCCAGAAGAAACATTCACCAAATCATACTAGGATACAGAGAAGTAATCGCAGTAGTCGTCGTCGTACCCTCTGTCATCGTTGTATTCGCAGTTGTGGTGGTGGTGGTGGTGGTGGTGGTGGTGGTAGCAGCAGCAGTTCTGCTGCAGTACTTGTAGTATTGCTAGTTCTAGATATCATTAGTAGTATTTGTCGTCGTAGTCGTATTACTACGAGTAGTGCTAGTATACCGGTAGTCCCAGTAGTGCCACCACTTCTTGAAGTACTAGGGGTACTAGTAGTACTAGTAGTACTGGTAGTCTTGGCAGCACTTGCAGTAGCAATAGCAGTAGCAGCAGTAGCAGTACTAGTAATAGGAATAGCAGCAGCAGTAGTAGTAGCCATAGTAGTAGTAGTAGTAGTAGTAGTAGTAGTAGTAGTAGTAGTCATCGGCATCGCAGTCACAGTCACAGTCGCATTTGCAGTCGGGGTCGTAGTAGGAGGGAGCAAAGCTGTCGCAAGGACGC